GTTGCAGGATGACACCCGACCACCTGAGCCACGCTGGCCTGGGCAACAGTGATTTTTGAAAGATCGTGACTGATCTTTGAAAAGTTTATCAGTTTAAAGCAGTATCTCAGTATGTGTTATTCCATTCTTGTTTTTATTAACATTTGTGTAGTTACTTCATTAAGTCTTTATGTGAAGAATTTTCATGCTTTTAGGTAGTAGTTAGATGACACTATTTCTTTTTAACACTAATATTTGTGTAAAGTATCATGTACTTATCAATCTTCATTAGATTTGATTTTCAAAGTGTTTTAGAACTAGATCCTTATGAAGAATCAAGTTATTTTCAAGCAGTAATGTAGGAGGCACTATACTTTTTAATGTAACTTCTATTTATTACTTACATTAAACCAAATGGTATCATTATTGGTTTAATCAGTATATCCAAGGGAATGGAATAATGAAATTTGTTACTGTAAATAACTTTAGAGATTATCTGGTGTTATTCCCTATCCTGCCCACCCCTCCCCCCATTCATGTTATTCCATTCACAAATAAAAGACACATTTTTAAAATATCTGAGGACATTAGTAGAAACACTCAGAAGTAGGATGACTTTTAATTCCACTCAATCTACAAAGACTTATATTTTATAGTGTTTGTCTTCACAGACAGTTCCTCTGGTCTCTTTTCTTTCCAAAGTGTTACATTAGAATGGTGAGATTTGAAAGGCTTATCTTTCACTGGCTTATTTCCTTTCGCTTAGGGGAGGGTGAGTTCTAATTATTTTGGCTCAACTGTGATTATCTTTCTTAGAGATATAAATTAATGCTCTATTTTCACCAGTTATGATATGCTTTTTGCTTTTTAATGCCTCTGAATATTGGGATATGTCCTTAATTGATTGATGCCTTAGTATTATTTTTGGCCAGGTAATTAGGGATTATTGAATTTAGTTGTATCCCTGCTGTCATACAGTTAAAGTCCTTTGTTGTTTCGATTAATAAACTGCTTAAGGACCTTTTGAAGAAAGCATGGGAGTCCTGGTTGTTACCTAAACATCTTTTAGCACCTGTGGTAAGATCAAGAAAGTAGTATCATCATTATAATTGCAAAGTGGAAGACAGTGGCTTTAAAGAAAATTTTGGAGACAGCAGTTAAGGAGCAGTGCTGTATCAACAAAGTTTTTTTTTTTTTTTAACTTGATTGATTTTTAGAGAAGAAGGGGGAGAGAAATATTGATTGTTGTCCCAGTTATTTATGCATTCACTAGTGGATTCTTGTATGTGCCCTGACCCCCGTGCCCAAACCCGCAACCTTGGCATAGCGGAATGATCCTCTAACCAATTGAGCCATCCAGCCAGGGCCATCAAGCTTTTAATGACCAGAGAATGATATTGTGTTAGTCTAATAACTAATTAGTCAAGACTAATTTGTTAGTCTTTTGTGGAGAAAACACATAAAATAGAAAACTCTGAGTGAGAAAGTGATTCAGAAGAGTAAAACCTAAGTATAAATATTTAAATTTTTGTGTATGAACAAGGATAATAGATAATAACAATTTTTGTCTAAATATGTCCAAAAGAGTTCTTAAAAAATGTATACCAAAAATTCTAAATGATAAAATGTTGACATAGTTTAATTGGAAGTTTTTGGTCCTTTGTGGACTGTAAGATAATGGCATATCTTAAAGGCATTGTAGATTTGTTAAAGGCTGGTAGTTTAGAATATTTTTCCAGAGTGGTACTGATAATCAGTATGATGTTATCTTTTGTGCAAAACATATGCTCTGAACCCTAAACATTAGGGTTGCTTAATTAGTAATTAGTATTTTTGTCCCTATTTTTCCGTAGGGAAGTAAAACAAAGTGATAATGTACTTACAAAATGTTAAACAAAAGACTTCACAGCCAAAAGTTTTTTGAAAGAAAGATTTTATTGAGCCAAGTGCTAGCTAGGAAAGGACCAGTTCTGGGGCATAAAGTCTAAACCACCAGCGTCACGGCTAGATGGAAAAGATGAGCATGTGTGTGGTACTGGTGGTGTTGGGCACTCGTATATATTCTGTTTTGAGGAAGAAAGATTGAGTTGTTTTGAAAGATCAGGTGGGGGTGGGAAAAGGTGAAGTTGGGGCAGTTTTGTGATAGTTACACCATCTATAAGGAAGAAATATTTACTAGCTTTGATGGGGTATAGGCAGCAGTCCTGAAAGTTTATGCCTATGTTGTCTTGTGGTTGGCTAATGGACCCTGGGGGTTGATTCGAATCTCCGGCATACATTCAGGAATGTGAGCAGTCTTTTGTTAGTTAGCCCACAGCTGTTAACTGGTTAATCATTCCACGCTCTTTCTCTTATTCTTTTGCCCACTATAATTTAGCGTGTATCAGAATTTTCTCTTGATAAAAAATTCCTATATGCAGGCTGATACCTGTTTATTCTTCATCATTGCCAAATTTAGATAATGGATCACTAAGAAATCTCCCATATACTGATTTTTAAAAATACGTTGTTGCTTCTGTGTTAATAATAATAATACATGTCCACTTTTAGAAGTTCAAACAATAATATGGTATGAAATACAAAAAAAGTGAAAAAGCACCTGAAATTCTACCATCCTTACTAATGTCTTTCCAGGTACTTCTTGGGCAGCTGTCCATACGTGAACATGGATGTGTAGTTTCTGTAAAATTATGTACCTCTCATATTTAATACGTTGTCTTTTTTCCCATTCACTGATATGTTAGGGAGACTGTTTCACTTAGGAAATGTTAATTAACTGGTCAATTAATTTTAAGGCTGCATAGTGTTTCATTGTAGAATTATATTGGATGATTTAAGCAGGTTCTTGCAAATGGGCATTTAAGTTGATTCAGTTTTCCTTACTGTAAATAGTGCTTTTATGGATATTTTATATATGCATATTTTTTATTTTGTAAAATTACCTTATGATAAATTATTAAAAGTGGGATTTGGACATTTATTTATTTATTGAAACCTTTATTAGTAGCTTTTAAAAGTTTGATTTTTTTTAATTTAATTTAATTTTATTTATTTATTTTTAGAGAGGGAAGGGAGGGAGACAGAGAGAGAGAGAAACATCAATATGCGGTTGCTGGGGGTTATGGCCTGCAACCCAGGCATGTACCCTGGCTGGGAATCGAACCTGGGACACTTTGGTTCCCAGCCCGCGCTCAATCCACTGAGCTACACCAGCCAAGGCCTGATTTTTTCTTTTAAAAAAAAAGATTTTATTTATTTATTTTTAGGGAGAGGGGAAAGGAGGGAAAAAGAGGGAAAGAAACATCAGTGTGTGGTTGCCTCTCGTGTGCTCCCTACTGGGGACCTGGCCCTCAATCCAGGAATGTTCCCTGACTGGAAATTGAACTGGAGACCCTTTGTTTCACAGGCTGGTGCTCAATCCACTGAGCCACACCAGTCAGGGCGCTGTTTTGTTTTTTTAAGGTTATAGATGTAGTTATGCTGAAGTGATAACATATGTTGAAATGTCTTTAAAAAACCTAATTAGTATTTTAAGATATGATTAAGCACTTAGCATGGTGCATAGCATGCATTAGTTAATATTTATGTTTAGGTTATCTTTTAAAATAAGTATGTCAAAATAATGAGAAGACAAGCCACTAACTTGGAAAAATAATACAAGATCTGGCACAAATAATGCTCCTTTTTTATTATAAAAACTTTTATTATAAAATCATAAGCATATAATTCTATAATAGCAATATCACACTCAAGCACACCTATGACATTTTAGGTGTGACAAATTAAAACTATAAATTATTACATCCATATTATTACCCTACCAACCACACTCAAGCAGGCATTACTTCTGCTGAATGCTATATTTGTAATGGATATCTGATAAAGGACTATTATTCAAAATATATAAATAACTCTTAAAACTTAACAATTAGAAAACCAACAATTTGATTAAAAATGGGCAAAAGATCTGGGCAGACATCTCACCAAAGAAGATGTACAGATGGTCAATGAGTATATAAAAAAATGCTCAACATTGTATGTAATAAGGGAATTGCACATTGAAACAGGGAGATATACCAGTATACACCTATGTTAGAATGGCAAAAATCTAAAACACTGACAACACCAAATGCTGGTGAGGATGTGGTGCAACAGGAACTCTCATTCATTGCTGGTGGGAATGCAAAATGGTACAGCCACTTTGCGAGACAGGCGGTTTGTTACAAAACTAACCGTATTCTTACCATATGACCCTGTAATTGTGCTCCTTGGTATTTACCCAAAGAAGTTGAAAACTTATGTCTACACAAAAACCTGCAAATGTATGTTGATAGCAGCTTTATCCATGATTGCTGAAACTTGGAAACAATCAATATGCCTACAGTAGGTAGATGGCTGCATAAACTGGCACATCTGTGTAATGAACTATTATTCAGTGCTAAAAAAAAAAAAAAAAAAAAAAGAAGGTCCAACCATGAACAGACATGGAGGAACCTCAAATGCGTGTTACTAAACTGAAAGAAGCCAGTCTGAATATGCTGTATGTATTATATAATTCCAACTCTATGATATGATGGAAAAACAAAACTATGGAGTAAAAGATCAGTGATCGCCAGGGGATAGGAAGAAGAGAGATGAATAGGTAGAGCATAGAGGATTTTTAGGTCAGTGAAACTATTCTGTATAATATAATGGTGGATACATGTCATACATTTGTCAAAACCCACAGAATGTGCAACAAGAGTGAGTCCACGTGTAAATATGGTTCGGTCTGTAGGTGATGATAATGTGTCAGCATAGGTCTTAGGTGGTAGCAGACGTACCATTCTGGTGCAGAATCTTGGTAGTGGGGAAGGTTGTGCATGTGTAGAAACAGGGAGTATGTGGGAACTCTTTGTACTTTCTGCTCAACTTTGCTGTGAACCCAAAACTATTCTAAAAAATGAAGTTTATTTAAAAAATTAAAATAAAATTTAAAAAGCAAGTATGCATTGGGACATTTTTTATACTTATATTTTTAGGCCCAGAATAAAGAAACCAATGTTTTAGCTGCTGCAAAGGTGATTGACACCAAATCTGAAGAAGAACTTGAAGATTACATGGTTGAAATTGATATTTTAGCATCTTGTGATCACCCAAATATAGTCAAGCTTCTAGACGCCTTCTATTATGAGAACAATCTTTGGGTAAGTATTTTCTACTGATCTATAGTAGTCAAAATGAGTTAATTGTCCTAAAGAGGTTTGTAAGTTGTGAAAGCCTATTTGATGTATAACCTCTTTTGTGTTACTTGTGTTGAGAGCTGATCTGCTGATGAGAGGAGGGTCATTAACAACATAATTACCCTTGGCTTCAACAGATGCAGGGTGGGCAAAAGTAGGCTTACTATTGTTCATGTGGAAAAAAACATGCAGGTTTTATTACAGTAGGTTTGTGTGTTTCGTGTACTCACCACTGGAAACCTACTTTTGCCCATTCTTGTATTGAGATGTGTATTTCAGATTGTGCCATATTTTATGATTGTGTGACATTGGACCCAAATGGAGAAACTTGGTTATGAATATTAAATTTCCTAAACTATGAAATTAGATGGTCTTCTCTTATTTGTAATTTAAATTTAAGCACTTACTTAAAAATTTAAGTTTCTTTTGTTTTCCTAGAAATTATTTATAATTTTCTTACCCAAAACTTCTTCTAAATCATGTAGTAAATTATAAAATGCTTACTAGAAATGTTTAATATTTATCTTATAAAATCTGGACCAGCTTTAGTACATAAGTGACATGGGCTGTATGTATAAATTATGTTTATTTTTTGAAAATATTAGGCAAAAATGGATACAGGAGTAAAATATTAATATTCATTATAATAACCAGTCACTTGGTCTGCGTCAACACTAATTTGATCAATAGGACCTTTTGAAGTGGAGTTTTTGTTTTTCTCCTTGAAGGAAGAAGCAGAGTGTGGGAGAGAAGAGTAGGTAGTACAAGTAGTACCTGACTGGGAGGTAAAAGGTCTATGATTTTTAATCCTGTTCTTGCTAGGTAGGAGCTTAAATAAGTCAATTAACCTTTGTAAGTCTGTGTACTCACTTAAAGGATGAGTAATGATCCACCTCCCAAATTATTTTTCAAATGATATAATGCATTTGAAAACAATTTGTAATTGGCATCTATAAAAAATAAAGTGTTATAATATACATAGAGGAGAAACAAACCAGGAAGCTATACAATTTGTTAAGATATATAGAAATTACCTATAGTTATTATTAGGGTGGTTTCTTCTAATATAGTTATTTAGGTCTGTAGCAAAATATTTCCAGAGATTTTAATGAAAATGAACTCCTAGACAATTTAATAAATGGATACAATCTTTACTCAAGACTGTTATAGAATAAAAAGTTAGACAACTGTGAAGGGACAATCTAGTGGGCAAGGTAGATATTAATTAACCAAAGAATCATAGTAAACAGAAAACTCTAAGAAGGAAAGGTACATGGTGGGGTGTAGATACCAAGGAGGTCTGGGAAGGCCTCCATCAGGAAGTGATAATTGAGCTAGCGTCTGAAGCTTTTGTGTATATTTTTTCTGTTTTTTTTTAAACTCAAGTCTATTTTTTTCAGGATTTATTTTTATCGGTGAAGCTAAAAATTACATTTGCTCACTTAAATCACAGAACTTACCTTAAAAATGAGAGTAATAAAATCATTCAGTAGTGATGAAATGGATATGTAATATCATCCTGAAGAAAAATTCTGTGCTTGGTTATTTTAGAGAAGCAGCGACACTAAAAATGGTGATTAGCAAAAATGCACATACTTCCATAATGTGTTCTCTTTGTGCCTTCTCAAATGCTATTGTTAAGACTCCTAACTTTTGACAAAGAAAATCTCTATGGTTAGCATAATATTGTCTCCATAGCCTAGGTTATTTGATAACTTTTCTTTATCTTTTTTGCTAAATTGAAAAAAAAATACTGAAACACAATGTTGTGTTAGACACATGCTCTTTTTATTTGCCCGCAGATCCTCATTGAATTTTGTGCAGGTGGAGCAGTGGATGCTGTGATGCTTGGTAAATACCTTTGTTTGTGTTTATGTCTTCAATAACACTTAATAAGAATCAGTGGATTTAAAATATCTATACATACATCTTCCTGTTAAGTGACATTCAGTTAAGAAGTCAGCTTAATAATAGTTTTACATTCTTGGATAATTGTAATAAAATTCTAAAATTAAATGCAGAGTATAATAATGTTAAGAAAGTAATCTTTTAGATATTTTGTTCTTCTAGAATAAGTTCACTCTGTATGGTCTTTGACAGTGATGGCAAAAGTAAAGAGCCCGGCAACACATGTTTGGTGTGCAAAAATGCAGATTTGTTTACTTTTTCCTTACAGAACTGGAGAGACCATTAACTGAGTCCCAAATACAAGTCGTTTGTAAACAGACCTTAGAGGCGTTAAACTACTTACATGATAATAAAATCATCCACAGAGATCTAAAGGCTGGCAACATTCTTTTAACCCTTGATGGAGATATTAAGTTGGGTAAGTTTATTCTTGAAAATAAAACATTTGCATTTGTGCTATGAGATTCCCCTTTGTATGTGACTTAATATTGTTTTGTCATGACTCAAATATGTGAAACGTGGAGTAATTCTCCACATTAATTTTTAATTTTTTTATTGTTTAAGATTTTATTTATTTATTTTTACAGGGACGGGTAGGGAGGAAGAAAGAGAAGGAAAGAAACATCAGTGTGTGAGACAAACATCGATCACTTGCCTCTCACACACGTCCCAACTGGGGACCGAACCCTCAACCCAGACACCCAGACACGTTCTCTGACTGGGAATTGAACTGGCGACCTTTTGTTGTGAGGGACGCGACACTCAACTGACTGAGCCATGCTGGTCAGGGCTTCATATTAATGTTTTAAATGCTTCCTTGGATACGTAATAATTCATTAACTTCAAGAATTCCTAAGTGTAGTGTAGTTATCTGATATAAAGACACTTTAAAAAGAAAGAAAAGAAAAGCAAGCTTTTAAAAACTGGTTCTTTTCTTTCCCTTTAATTTTTGTATGTAGACTTAAAACTGATTAATACATATAGAGTATGATATATTGTAGTATGTAAAACTGTTAATTTCGTTTTTAATTCTAAAACTCAGCTCTAATGTTTAGTTTACTACTCTTTACCTGTGGTATCTTGGCTAAACTAACAAAGTAACTAAATCTTAGGTCTGAAAAGGATGCCTAAAATAAGTATAAGTACAGTTTTTACTTTCTTATGCTGAAGGAATAAATAAAACTTCATAAGGAGAAATAGATGTAGATTTAAATGGGGAATTAATTTCATATATATACACACGGAAGATATCCCTTTAAGCACTCCCAAGATAATACATTTTAAAAAATCTGGTCATGAAATCTAAATTTGTGTATTTTGGAAGGACATTAAAAGGATAAAGTATTAAAAAACATACTGATTCCAGTGATCAGTCATTTCACTTTGTTATGATATTTAAACAGGTATAATTTAATATACTAAATTTTACCTTTTTTACTTTGAATTAAACAGATAAAGAAAACCACACAAACAACTTAGCTTAAGACAGTGAATTGGTGCTTTCTCATCCTTAGTTGGTGACCAGTATTTTTAAAAAATACCGTTATTGGCTGGTGTGGCTCAGTTGGTTGAAGCGTCATCATCCCACAGACTGAAAGGTTGTGGGTTCAATTCCCAGTCAGCACATACGCAGGTTGTGGGTTTGATCCCTGGTCAGTATGCATGTGAGAGGCAACCAGTTGATGCTTCTCTTTTCTCTTTCATGCTCCCTCCCCCCGTTCTTCCCCTTCCCTCTCTCCCCCTTGCCTCCCCCATCCCCCTACCTGTCTCTCTCCTTCTCTTTCCCAAAAGCAATGAAAAAATATCCTCAGTTGAAGATAAAAAAAATACCATTACTAATTCATGAATTTAATTTTATTTTATAAGTTTCAAATCTAACACAATTTTTATCCTCATTGAAGCTCACATTGTACCATTTTTGCTCAAGTTGGCTTGTTAATCTTTTTGACATGAGTCTAGTCTTTATCGATAGCTTCCTTGTTATTTGTTAAGTTGAGATGTTTCAGGCTCATGTTGTATATTTCCTGCTTCAGACCTGTAATTAGCCATTTCTTCAAGAAACCCTGGTTTCTTTTATTAGAATATGATATTTCTTTTTTTTAAGTCAACTTTTTTTTTTAACAGATCAAAGCGATATTAGCTTGATTTTGTAAGTTCAAATTTGTAAATTTCTTTTTTTTTTTTATTGTTCAGGATACGGTATTTCAAGACCACTTTTTTGAGTGTTAGAGATTCTTATAGTTTCTGGATTGGCCATTGTTGGTAGGCCAAGGGTGTCCAAACTTTTGAGATACCACAGTGGAAGAAGAAAAGTTTTCTTGGGCCACACATTATATACATCATGACACATAATTGCAAAAAAAAATTCATAATGTTTTAAGTAAATTTACGATTTCATGTTGGGTCACATTCACAACCATCCTGGGTGCATGGGACCAGTGGGCTGCAGGTTGGACGCCCCTGCTAGGCCTTTCCAAAGGACAGAGTTAGACTCTCAATGAATTCCTACATATTTTCTGTTCTCATTCAGCATGAAGGTGGGTTCCCCCCACCCACCACCACCTAACCTCTTCTGTATTACATCTGTATCTTCTTTCTTCTGTCCTGCTTTTCAAGGACATTGGTGACAGATTTAGAATATACCATAATAACTCATTTTAATCCTCATTTCTATATTTAATGCTAATCACTAGTCCATATGTTGATGTATCTTTGGTCATGTTTGTTGTCTGAAGCTCATTACCTGGTAGATTCCTCTGGAAGAGCTCTCGGGGTTTCTATATAATCATAGCAGTTTTGCTCTTTATACTTTAAAGGTTAGTTTTGCTGGATAGAAAATCTTTGGCTCACATTTTTTACTTGAGTGTCTGAAATACATTACTGTGTTTTCTTCTGTCAAAGTGTTGAAAAGTCTGGTGGTAATACGATTTTCTTTCTCTTATAAGTGATGTGTTCTTTTTTTCTAGATGTCAAGGAAATGCCAATATTAATAATTTGACTAGACTTTTTAAGTAAAATATATATTCTTATAATCAAGTTTTTTTAAAGAAAGGTTTTATGAAATTACTGATTTGAATATTTGTTCTGTTCCCCTCTCATTGACTTTCTTCTTTAGGGTTTTTTATCTGCTTCTGGGATTTGCCTGTTATCAATATTTATAACTTTCACTCAAGTTCTTTTCATCTTTCTTCATTTTTTAAAAATTTTTATTTTTTTTATCCTCACCCGAGGATATTTTTTTGTTACTTTTAGAGAGAGAGGATAGGGGGAGAGAGAAAGAGAGACAGACAGAGAAACACTGATGGGAGAGAGGAACATTGATTGGCTGCCTTCTTACACATGCCCTGACTGGGGATCAGACTCATAATCTGAGTATGCGCCCTGACCAGGGGTCAGACCCGCGACCTTTTGATCTATGGGATGACGCTCTAACCAACTAAGCCACACCAGCCAGGGCTCTTCATTTTTTTTATTATGGTGAAATATACTTAGCAAAATGTACTATTTATCCATTTTTAAGTGTACAGTTCTGTACCATTAAGTACATTCACATTGTTGTACAACCATTACCACTATCCAAAACTTTTTTGCCTTCCCCACTGAAACTCTGTACCCTTCAAACACTAACTCCCCATTCCCCCTCCCTCCAGCCTTTGGCAACCACCATTAACTTTCTCTTTCTAAGAATTTGACAACTCTAGGTACATCTTATAAGTGGAATCATACAATATTTGTCCTATGTCTGGCTTATGTTACTTGGCATATCTTTAGGGTTTGTTCATATTGTAGCATGTGTCAATTTCCTTCCTTTTAAAGCCAAATAATACTGTTACACACACGCGCTCATGCGTGCGCACACACACACACACACACACACACCCTCCCCACATTTTGTTTAACCTTTCATCCATTCAGGGACACTTTGGTTGCCTCCACCTTTTGGCTTTTGTGAAGAATGCTGCTATGGACACGGGTGTACAAATACCTGTTCGAGCCCCTGCTTTCAGTTCTTCGGGGTGTATATCCAGAAATGGAATTGCTGGGTTATGTGGTGATTCTGTGTTTACTTTTTTGAGGAACCAGCATATCATTGTTCATAGCAGGTGTACCATTTTACATTCATACCACTAATGCAGAAGGGTTTCAGTTTTTTACATAGCCTTACCAAAACTGGTTATTTTCTGTATTTGTGCTGATAGCCATCCTAATGGGTGTGAAGTGTAATTAATGGGTATGAATTCGTTGTGTTATTTTGTTCTTGTAGTCTTCCTTGTTTAGTTTTTTTTCTAAAATGATTTTTTATTTCTAATAGTCTCAAGTTCTGCCACCTCATTTCTGAGTTTTTGTAATTCTGACTTAGGTTACTCTTTTATGACTTCCCATCACTTTTTGAAGTCTCATAGCTCAATTTGAAATAATATGTTATGATCCATTTTTAATGAATATTTTTATGTAAGTATATTAAAATCTCATTTGAATACAGGAGCGTACTTTTGTATAGAATAATGTATACTTTAAAAATTAAGTATATATTTGAAGATTTAGGAATGCCAAATAGTTTCAGGTTGGCTGCCATTTAAAACAGTTTCAATTTCTGTTTTATTAATTTGTAAATACAGCCCAGGCTGGTGTGGCTCAGTGGATTGGGCACCAGCCTGCAAACTGAAAGGTTGCCAGTTCAATTACTGGTCAGGGTACATGCCTGGGGTGTGAGCCAGGTCCCCATTTGGGGGCATGCAAAATACATGGGGCCATCCATGTATCTCTCACGCATTGATCTTTTTCTTTCTTCCTCCCTTCCCCTCTCTCTAAAATTAAATAACTGAAATCTTTAATTTGTGAATATAGAGAATCTTTAATTTCTTTCACACCCTGTTAAATGTACACAGAAGTATAGAACCGTACTATGCTCCAGAGCCATGTTACAATACCGACATTTTTATTACCTTATTGGATCATGTTATTATAAATGGATCATGTCATTACACCGTGTCTTTAATGCAGACCAGTGTGTACATGCCACATCATTGTAAGTGGGAATACAAAGCACAAGGCAAACGTAATTTTCCCCTTTCCACAGAAAATAAAGATGCCTTTTGTCCCTCTTTAGTGTCCCTCCTGTAGAGGAGTGTGAATGTTGACACTGGACAGTTCTTGTTTAGGCCTCTTTCTGGACCTCCTTCCCCAGTTGTGCTGAGGGGAGAAAGTTAATAAGAATAGTGTTAATACATTCTAGGAAAACACTATACCTGAGTTCAGAACCTTGTCTGGCAGGAATATCATATTGTGATCTCAGCTCCTTCCTCCAGAGTTTAAAAAGCTTTTAAGTAGAGGAGGTAGCGGCAGGTAATAGGGTGAGGAGTCTTGAATAGATCTATCTGTGTTACATCTTCTGTAAATATTCTAAGTATAACACCGTATTTTGCCATGTATAATGTGTACTCTTTTTGTCCAAAGTTTCGAGGGGAAAATGATGTGCATTATACATGGGTATAATAATCCCATGTATAATGTGCACAGAAATGTAGGTGTGCATTATACACAGGAGTCCAGTATGCACACAAAAAATAGTATGTTCTGTTGGCTTATTCCTTTAGTAATTATAAAACATTAATTATCTAATGTAATGAAGGACTTTGTACATTATATTAGGAAGCTTGAACTTCATTCCACAGGCAATAGGTAGCTGCTTATTTATATTTAAGCAGGAGAACTGTATGGTCAAAAAACAAACAAATGAGAACCATATAATAAACACATAGTTGGAATACTACAAGGCAGGGTTTAATGAGTTTTAAGAGTTCTGTCAACAAAATATCACAAAGATGAGAATTACAGATATGGTTAAAATAGTAGCTACCCTGCATTGAGTATGTATTTGGTGCCAGGCCTTGCCGCGTGAGCACTAAGTGCTGCATTTTGGTATTTATTTAATTTTGAGAATTGTTTCATGTCCATCATGAAACTAATAGATATATGTATATATGGCATGAGGTAATTTAGGCAGCAATAACAGTTTTATGTTGCTATTAATAATTATCTGAGCTGTAAGCTTAAAAGGTGGGGTTTAACAACCGATCAGACCATATTGTTGCTTTTTCTATGATTTAAATTAGAAAACGTGTTTTTGAATTTTTTTCTTTGTAATATAATTTTATGAGGAAGTAGCAAGCCATATGCTGTCATAAAGCTGCTTTGGTATAATTTCTGGTTTTCACACTACAAAAAATGTTTATGTGTATTGATCTAATTATAACGTAGCACTAGTTGGCATTTGTTTGAAGTGGATAGACTGGTCTGTTTTAAAGTTAGTATTTTTCTTTCAGTTCTGGAGAATTTGTGATCTGAAGGTGTATAAAGATCATAGTATTAAGTGTATTAATGATGGACTTTTTTCTGTGGCAATTTTTGAGGGTGGGTGTGGTAGAAAGAAGGTGGTCAGAAATAGGATGGTAGAGAAGTTATTTTTTTACCCTTTAATAAGAATGTTCTTGTGAAAGACTTGATATGCTTTCCCCTTTGTTAACTACAGTGAACTTTGCTTAAAACTGTAATTAACACTTTTGTATGATTATTTATTTCAAGCGGATTTTGGAGTATCGGCTAAAAACACAAGGACAATTCAAAGAAGAGATTCCTTTATTGGCACACCATATTGGTATGTATTCATTTTTATGGATTTACAGTATTAGTGATGCCAACAGTTATTAGATTCATTAATTTGTCCACAAAATTGGTGATACTATCTCTTATGTGGTTTTCTTAGGTTAAACATACTAACTCTTAGTTCTCTGTTTTCGTAGGATGGCTCCTGAGGTAGTCATGTGTGAAACGTCGAAGGACAGACCCTATGACTACAAAGCTGACGTTTGGTCCCTGGGTATCACTCTAATAGAAATGGCTGAAATAGAACCACCGCATCATGAATTAAATCCAATGCGAGTGTTGCTAAAAATAGCAAAATCTGAACCCCCTACATTAGCACAGCCATCTAAATGGTAAAATACTCTAAACAAAGCTTTTTAAGAAGTAAAATTTGATGCCTTTATTCTTCCAACTTTCCAAGGGTATTTAAATTTATGGTACAAAGACTATATGAAGTAGAAAACTGATTTTTGGTATATTTTTAAGATTTAAGGACCATATAAATTCTCATAACTAACTTTTTCCAAATTTGAAAATACCAGGGATTGGCGTTCCACTGAAAAAGGTATTTTTTTGTATCACGAGAAAGTGAGGCATATATTTGTTTGATCTTATTTGTGGAAGAATTTTTGTGATTTTTTTTTGTATACTTGTGAATTTGTGGTTATTTCTCAGTGATTAATACATTGAACTAACATACATATATGTATAACTTGTATTTATAAATGAATAACTTACATAGTCTTAATATTCTTTTACCAGTTTTCTTATGTCGAGTTGATATTGTTGGATACATAATGAAATAAGCACAATTTATCAGAGTTTTGTTTGATTTTAATAATAAAGTAAAATAGAATGTCATTGTTAAAATTTTATTTTGAAGGTCTGCAAATTTTAAGGACTTTCTAAAGAAATGCTTGGAAAAAAATGTGGATTCTAGGTGGACAACGTCCCAGCTCCTGCTGGTAAGATAAGAGTAGTATGACAGCAATAAACCATATAAATGTTTTAACATCTTTCAAAGAAGAGTACAATTTCTCATTCATTCATTGTGCTCTCCTTCCACTTGACTTTCCCTGTGGAAACTCAGGGTACTTTGTAGTAGTAAACATTTGCTTTGCAAACATAGGTGCTGCATTGCTAAAAGGCGTTTAACTTAAAAGTCATTCCTCCTGTGCTTTTTTGTTTCAGTTTGTGTTCTTTTTATTTTGTTGGTTATTTCCACTTTGTTAGTTGCTTCCATTTTCTCTCTCCAGTTACTGGAAAGCGAGCAACTTGGGGGCAAGGGTACGAGCTAATGAATTTTTTTATGTCTCTTGAGGGTAAATGATTAGTAAATGTTGCTGACTTCAGTGAATGGTGTTAAAGTGATTGGATAATTTTGTTTTATAGCAGGACCTGTTTATAATATTTGAAATAAAATATCAAAAAGTTAATATTATAGGTGAACAAAAAGAAAGGCAAATCTTGAGGTACTTAGGCTGAATTACTGTTTGACTCCTGCATTATAAAGACTGTACTTTCAGGGATCATTTCTATAGTTTGTTAACTCCTGCATTATAGTGTTTTAGGTTGATGTATTTACATGAGAGAAAGCAGGAAAAATTGCCTCGTTCTGTGCAACAAGTATGTTCCTAGGGCACACTTTTATTCTGTTACTACCCCCACATTTGAAGACTTTAGTCTGTGACAGACACAGTTTAGTGCTGAGTATACAGAGATAAATAAAGGACCTTCTTACTCTTAAGAACATTAGAATCATGTCAAAAAAGCAGGTGTTTGTAGACACTTTTAACAGAACTTTAAAGCTTTTTGTTATTCTTCCACTGAGGCTTTATACTGGATTTATATGTATTGTTACTTTTTAAGAACTGGTAATGTACAACTAAAACTTACTTTAAATTTTATTTTTTTAATCCTTATCTGAGGGCATTTTTTTCATTGTTTTCAGGGGGTGGGGGGAGAGAGAGAGAGGGAAACATCGGTGTGAGAGAGAAACATCAGTTGGTTGGTTGCCTGTGTACCCTGATTGGGGTTTGAACATGCAACCAGGGTATATTCCCTGACCAGGAATTGAACCCTCAACCCTTTGGTCCATGGGATAATGCTCCAACCAGCTGAGCCACACTGGCCAGGGCTTTACTTTAAATTTTAGATTATGAGATTTTAAAACATACATAAAAGTACATGTTCCTACTATCTAGATATGTTATTATTTTTGACATATTTCCTTCAGATTCTTAAAAAAAGGTAGAATAGGGGTTGTAGGCTGCCCCTACTTCATCTCCTTTACCTTCTTCCTTTCCCAGGTGTGACATTATTTGACGTGTCTCTATTTTTCCTACCTGTATATTCATATTTTTACCAAGTAATAATATGTTTTATATTTTTGAAACTACTTTACAAGCAAGCATTTCAGGTGTTATTGAGCGTGCTCTTTTTAATGATCCAACAGCATCCCTTCGTTACTGTGGATTCTAACAGACCAGTCCGAGAGTTGATTGCAGAGGCAAAGGCTGAGGTAACAGAAGAAGTTGAAGATGGAAAAGAGGAGGATGATGATGAAGAAACAGAAAATTCTCTGGTCAGTATTTAGTAGAAAGGAAGTTATATTTAGGTAATTTTTAGAGTTGGTTTTTGAGGTATGATTGCACCCTTGTCTAAGGATTAATTGATGAATAGCAGAACAAAACCTTTAATTTTAGAGGTGAAGCTTAATAGTAAGTTTACTCTTGCTGCCTATTTTTGTCATATTTATTATATGAAGACTTGTCAATTTAAATTATATTTATAGCTTCATTAAATTTATTGAATAATGATTATACATGAATTAAATAATTTTAAATATAAATAAGTAAATAAAATGTTTTCTTCACCACCATTTTGTTTTAACACTAAAAATGTGTGAAATCTTTTTTTAGCCAATACCTGCAAGTAAGCGTGCCTCCTCTGACCTTAGTATTGCCAGCTCTGAAGAAGATAAACTTTCACAGAATGCTTGCATTTTGGGATCTGTCTCAGAAAAAACCGAAAGTAATACTCCTGAAGATAAATTTAACAGCAGAGTTATTAATGAAAAACCCACTACTGACAAGCCTGATAAAGTTATGGAGGGTATTGGTGAACATACCAGTGACGCTCATTTAGAAGCTGTGGCTGAACTCCATAACAAAAAAGTAACAATCAAGGACAGTGAGAGAGAGGAGAAGAGACCCAAGCTGGAAAATCCGCCTGACACAGAAGACCAAGAAACAGTAGACATGAATTCAGTCAGTGAAGGAAAAGAGAGTAATAGGATCACTTTAGAAACAAATATGGAACAGAATATGGAACCTGAGGAAGGAGGAGATCAGGAAAAGCAAACGGTATTTGAAAATAAGGTCATAAAATCTGAAGAAGAAATTAAAGATACTATTCAAACAATGGATTTAGTTTCTCAAGAGACTGGAGAAAAAGAGGCAGATACTCAGGCAGTTGACAATGACGTTGAGCTTACAAAGGAGGAAGACATCCAAGAGAATTTGGGAAAAGATGAGAAATCTCAAGAAGATGTGACCAGCGCTACGAGCAATGTGATAGGAACAAGTGAGGAGGCAGCAGGTGTTGCTCAGAAGGCTGTGGAAAACGACGCCGCGGATGCGCGGAGTGACGATGGGAAGGAGATGGTTGAAGCAGGCCAGGAATTAGCAAGTAAACCCACGGAGGGTCCTGAGGTCGGTGGTGCTGAGGACGTTTCTGTTAGAGAAATAGTTGATACTAACGAAATAGACCAAAAATCTGTAGAAGGTAAAGGTGAAAAACAGTTAATCAAGAGTTCCGAGAACATAGTGGAGACCAGGACAAATGAAGCTGTGGAAACTACTGAGTCAAGCAGCACTGAAGAAATAGAGGTCGGAAGTTCAGTGATTCATACTGACCACAAGGCTTCAGGAAGTGAAATTCAGGATGTTCGTGAAGCCACTACTCAGACAGATACAGAACTAAAACAAATTCCATGTGAAGTGCCAATTAAAACAGAACTTGAAGTTGCTGCTGCTTCACAGCCCAGTGAACCTCAGCCTGTTCCAATACCTAGTATTAATATCAACTCTGAAGATGCAGAAAAGAAAGGGGAAAGAGATGCTTTATCAAAAACTGAAACCATGTTGCTACCAGAATCGGAGAATCAAAAGGAAAATGATACTGATTCAGGCACTGGTTCCACTGCTGATAATAGCAGCATTGACTTGAATTTATCCATCTCTAGCTTCCTAAGCAAAACTAAAGACAGTGGATCTATATCTATACAAGTAAGTGTGCATGGGTCCTTGTTTGAGTTTTTCTTTGTCATTTTGGCAGTTCAGAATTTACTTGAAACTGATGTATTGAAAATAAAACAGCACTAAATCAATATAGTATTACCCCTATAAAGTTCTCTTCTTTTTTCCCCATAAAATTCTTAAGACCTTGAAGGAATCAGTTAAAAAGAACCAAGAAGAGAGGTTCTGAATGTGACCTTCAAATTTTTTGGTAGTAACTGCTTATTTTTGCCAACTTGATATAGACAGTATAATATAGTTGCTTATTGTGATTTGGGTTCTCTCATTGCAATACTATTTTAGCAAGAATCAATAATATATGAGATAATGATGTTTTTTAAAGCATGCTTAGGGTCTAAACAGCCCTTGATTTGTCATTGGACCATACAGGTGACCACTGTTGCTTCCCCAGTCATAGCTATCACTACTGCCATGAGAACCGTTGTGGGAAAACAAGCAATACTAAAATCTAAAACCCAGGACACTTGCAGTTTCTAGAGAATAATTCTCAAATATTAGTGTGCTTAAGAGTTAGCAGGTGGAGCTATGTAGAAGTATGGGGTGAATCCCAACAATCAGTATTTATAACAAAAGATTCCATGGGATTCTGATATAGGTGAGCCATGGACTAACTAAAGACTTTGGATTGACAGGTAGCAGAAGAGAAGACTGTAAAAAGCAGAAACAACTTAGGGGAACTGACCTTACGGACAGGACTCTAGGGCATGACTGATCAGCCTGCCTGTCTGCCCCAAATTATTGCAGTCTTGCTTCAGTTGTCTTCGGTTTATTTGGTTTCCCTGAAATTCTATAAATGTAACATACATTCACTGACTTAGTAATAGGTACTGTAATTATATATATTAACTTTCAAGTTACACTATAAAAGTATACTAATATTTTTTATGATTTTTATTTTATTTTTATAGAGGGAGGGAGAAAGAGAGGGACAGAAACATCAGTGTGTGGTTGCCTCTGGCCACCCCATGCTGGGGACCTGGCCCGCAACCCAGGCATGTGCCCTGACTGGGAATTGACTTGGCAACTCTGGTTTGCAGGCTGGCACTCAATCCACTGAGCCATACCAGCCAGGGCAAAATATACTGATTTTTAAAAAAGATTTTATTTATTTCTTTATAGAGAGGGTAAGAAAGGGAGAGGAGCATCAATGTGTAGTTGCATCTTGCAAGTCCTCATCCAGTCCCTGGCCCACAACCTAGGCCTATGCCCTGAGAATCGAACCAGCGACCTTTCACTTTGTGGGACGATGCTCAACCCACTGAGCCACGCCAGTTAGAGCCTAATATTTATTTAAAATGCAATAACTTATGTGAGAATTAAGGTTGTGTGAATTACGGATATTTTAGTAGGAGCTGAAGAAATGGAAAGTTTGGAGGTTACAGGGAGGTAGCTAGACTTCGCGGGTGTGCCCACTGTAAGTTGTAGAGGGAGCCTGGATGGAGGGCCACCGTCGGGGCTCAGGGACCGGGAGTGTGAGGACACCGGAAGCCTGGAGAACAGAACAATGAGAGATTGCAGAAGGGTGACTAGAAAGTGCTGAAGACAAGCTTTAAAATTCTAATGCATTTTGAATTTAGTATTTTCACATTCCACCTTTGCTCCCTTTGCTTTCTAACCTTTCCCTCTACATCAGAACCAAGTTATCTGCCCTCAATACTTACTGTGTTTATCAAATGTATTTGTAAGAGTGTCATACATCCATTATTTTTATTTACATTTAAAAAGTATTTGAACACTGGTTGAGGAATGAAGAGTTTGGTCTTAAAGAATTGTAGGCAATAGCGAGGAGGCAAATAAGTGGTAAATGTGTAAAAGGTTTACTAGTTAGTCTTTTATGTGAATCACTCCTTACAATTGTGCTTGATTATAGTGTGGTATCATAAAAATTATACATGTACATCATCAAAAAGCATAATTTCACTTGAAAAAAGTTTGATTTCATCTGTAAAGTCATGTGAAAGTCAAATGAGGTATAAGATGGTATAACTGGTTACACAGGTGAGCCTTACTGCTTTATATTCTTACTTCATATGTGTAGTCTTCATGGCTGTTCATTTGTTTTGTTAAAGAAGAAAATGTATTCTATCTCTAATATTGTCCTTATAAAGCCTAACTAAAATAAAATCTCACTCAGGAAACAAGAAGACAAAAGAAAACATTGAAGAAAACACGCAAATTTGTTGTTGATGGTGTAGAAGTGAGTGTAACAACATCAAAGATAGTCACAGATAGTGATTCCAAAACTGAAGAATTGAGGTTTCTTAGGTGAGTAGGGAAACAGCATAATTAAAACTGGTTTTGTGACTTCTTTTCAGTCTGTGTAAAATCTGAAGACGAGAGAAACAAAGTCTTGGCTAATTGGGGATTATTCTTTTATTATACATTTGGAAAAAATATTTTAAAAGTTTTTTTTAAAAAGCACATTACTTCAAAATAATGCTTTAAAGGTGTAATTACTTCAGAGGTATAATTTTTGTTACTTTGCTCTATCATTGCTGTTATATTTTATTAGACGCCAGGAACTTCGGGAATTAAGATTTCTGCAAAAAGAAGAGCAAAGAGCCCAACAACAGCTCAATGGCAAACTGCAACAGCAGCGAGAACAGATTTTCCGGCGCTTTGAGCAAGAAATGATGGTAAAGTCTTAGATATTTGTACCAATTTGTTAGTTATAAAATTTGGTGCTTTAAGAAAAATCTACTAGCAGTTACAACGTATTCTCTGATGACTAGTTTTTTTCTGAGTGATATGATGGCCTTTATCTCTTTGGTGTTCTTGATGCCTTTCCCCCCACCCTTTGCCCACAAGGGCCTTCCACCCCAGTCTTCCTATCACCGACTTACAGTGTGATGGTTGTCTTCATTTTTCTTTGGTTAGCATCTGTCATGAAAACCTGGAATCATGAAGCTAGTAGATGGTTTACAAAGTTCTTTGGTGTGCCTATTGCTGGTTAGTTTTTCTGTGTTACAATTTGATCCCTCATATTTGGAGTCCCAAGATTTTAAGCCAGTGTAAAGCAGTTATCTTTAAACCTTGCTGAGTATTAGAATTTACTGGGGGCTTTTTCAAAACACAGTTAATTCTCTGGCTTCTACAGTTTAGCTTCTGTATCCCTATTCACAGCTGTTAGAGAAGTTAGTGCTAACTAGTCAAGGGTAATTGAGATTTTTGGTTTTTACCTTGTGTCCAAAGTTAGAAAAGGAATTAGTAATGTGGATTAACTTTTGATGACTTAGGTTGAACATGTAGCTTAATGTAGGTTAGAAAAAAGATAATTTGAAATGTTATAGTGCTTATGTTTTCAATATAGTTCTTTTACTATTCTTATAATTTTAAGTGCTAAGAATTCTTTTATGTGAAGAGTATATTGTTGATTACATTTTTTTCAATCACAACTGAGAATTTCTAAGAAAATAATGAACTTTTTTTCATTATTCCTCACCAAGTGTTTTTATGGTACTTAACATTCTGTTTTCCAGAACTTTATAAAAGCTGGGTTTCTCCCCACCCCAGACATTTTTCAGAATGTTTTACTTTTTAATTTGTTTAAAGAAAACACCCTTTACAAATATTTAACTCTGCCTTTATCCAAAATTACAGTATTATTCAAGTTTTATATAAGCAGCAGTCTTTTGTTGAAACATAGATTTATAATCCCAAAAGACTTGTTTTAATAAAATAGGATTTTTATTTTAAGCACCTTAATGAAGAAGAGTAAATCTGAAAATGACAATGGTTCACAATTAAGATAGACTTCAGATAAGACCTTTGATTTATCAAACATTTTATTGTATAAATATTGAAATTTTTCTTTAGTACTTCATAGCAACTGGCCATTCTTCTGGATTTTGTAAAAATTTTGAACATTCTACTACTTGTAAAACAGAAAAAAGTACAGTTGACTCTTGAATAATACAGGGAGTCAGGGACACTGACCCCGCATCTGTTCACCCCCCTCACTGCCCCCTCCCCGTGCGTTTGAAAATCCATGTTTAATTTCTTTAACTCCCCAAACCTTACCTACAGTTGTCCTTGGGTATCTGCATGGGATTGGTTTCAGGACTCCCCATGGACACCAGCATCTGCAGATGTTCAAGTCCCACATGTAATATAGTGTAGAACAGTGCATGTAATAAATAGGCCTTTTGCCTCCATGGGTTCCAGACCATGGGGATCAAAAATACTGTTTTTGGTTTGGGGTTGGTTGAATCCATATATGCAAAACCTGTATATTTATTGAAAAAAGTCTGTATCTAAGTGGACCTCTGCAGTTCAAATCTGTTCAAGCATCAGTTGTATTTATTTTCCACTTTAGAAGAAATGAAGTACTTATCATATTTTAGTTCATTTGACTTGTTCAGTACTACAAAGGTTATATATTACATCACTAAATTAAAATGCTAGTTATGTGCTCTTAGTAAACATCTTCATTATAATGATTTAATATAAGTGATAGAAAAGTTAAGTGATCTTGAGCTACATTGTTTTTCAGAGCAAAAAACGACAATATGACCAAGAAATTGAGAATCTAGAAAAACAGCAGAAACAGACTATTGAACGTCTGGAACAAGAACATACAAATCGCTTGCGAGATGAAGCCAAACGCATTAAAGGAGAACAAGAGAAAGAGTTGTCCAAATTTCAGAATATGTTGAAGAACCGGAAAAAGGAGGTAAGTGTAACTACTGTTTTCAGTTACTAAAGCTATTATTTTTAATGCACATGTAAGAATGTCAATGGGATTAGAAATAATACTTGATAATAATACTAGTTAAACAGCATTCATTCTTTTTGTCTTCCCAACAGTCATGTGGGGTAGTAGTAAGGTCAGCTGTTATCCCATTTTACTGCCAAGGAGACTGGAGTAGAAGAGATTTTAAAGGCCTGTTTAAGGTCATGAACTACCATTAAATATCCAGCTAAATGTTGAGCCAAATCTTCATTTTCCTGCCATACTATCATTTCTCTTTCATTAATGCAGCATTCAAGGCCTGTCACAGAAATAGTTTTTCAAGAAAACTTATAGCGTTGTGTTTGCAGGTGGCAATAATAATTCATCTTATTATTTATTCATAATATTTAATTAATACTTAATCTTTTTTTATTAGCTGGATTGCTTTTCTTAGTCATTGTGCCAAAACCAAATCTGAGTAACCTGAAATCTGAAACAATATCTATAAATTCATCAGATGGTGAGATACTTTGAAGATTCAATCACAGGTAGAAAGTATCTGAGAAGTCATTTGAGGAGAATGAAACTTTTCATTTCTCCTGAAACCATTCCATATGGTGGTAGAATCTGTATTTGTGGTGTGAAGAATTGTCATTGATTGAGAAAGAAGATTTACATATTGTATTAGTGTGTCTTTTTCTCCCCAAGTTAAATAAAACTAAGAGAACTTTTTATATTAGCAGTTTTCAGAGATAATTTTATGATTTATTCTGTACCTTTAGTGTAGAAGGTGCATTTACCTTTTCATGATTATAAAGATCCCAGGAGTAATAATTATGATCACTTCTATTAGATTGAAACCAAAATATCTCATTCAAACTAGTGAATGTCTTTTCACTTCTGTGTGTTTCAAATACCCAGCTTCATTGACTTTAACATTTAAATTACGCAGAAAATTAGACATGATATTACTGAACTTGAGAATCTACTCTAAAAAGGATAGAATCATACATTAACACAATGTGTTCTATGATTTCTTTAGGTAAAGATGAATGAAATGGTATATAATCTTATTTGATGTGGCTACCATTTCTAAAACTTACAGTGTTGCCACACTATTATGCTTTATGCAGAATGGCTCTATATATGATGTATGACTTTTGCTGAGACTGCACACTAATTCTCCTAAAACCATGGGTAGTTTTCATTGAGAGGTTATTTTTAATATCAGATTAAATAAAACAAATTTTACAGGTAAATATATGATTTAATCGTAAGTATATAAAAGTCTCTAGTTATTACTGTTTGGGGTAGGAGAGTTTTAGCCAGTTAGTATGTTTGAGATCATGATATGCATATTTTAAATAATTTTATTATGTATTTTTTCCCTTATCACTAAACTTCTTGCATTTGGGGAGTCTCTTCCTTTTAATGGTGATTTGGTTTCATGAGGAATTACTGATGGGGAATTTTAAATACACTATATTAAATCAAAATTAGTCTCTTTCATGGACCATCAGTAGCATATGGTGATTTGGAATCTGGTTGCTTTTGGTGCTTCTACTTGTAAACACATGATCGTTTATTCAAAGTGGGTCTATTTTTAGCTGGGATATATATATCTGGGATTTTGAAATGATTTAAAAGAGGGAGCTCTAAAAAATACTTTGTTTTATAATATACTTCATCTGGTATAATAAAATCATAGCATATTAAACTTATGAATGCTTATGTTACTCATTTTAAACTTGACAGTTAAGCTTGGATTAAATTGTCAGCAAAGGAGAATGCTATTCTAATCCAACACAAAATCATGAGATATGTTCATTTTTATCACACCGTATGTGAAATGGTGTGTTCTAAGAAAAAAGAAAATGTAGTATCCATTTATTTCTCCTTTGTGTATTCTAAGGCTTACTTTTCCTATTGTTTTTCTTTTTTGTCTCAGTGGATTTTATTTAAACTTATTTTTTGTTTTTTTTTAATCCTCATCTGAGGATATTTTGATTGATTTTAGAGAGGGAGGGAGAAACATCGATGTGAGAAACATCGATCAGTTGCTTCCTGTACACTCCCTGTCCAGAGACCGAGCACACAATCTAGGTATGTGCTCTGACTGGGGATCGAACCCATGATCATTTGGTGCATGGGACAATGCTCCAACCAACTCAGCCACCCAGCCAGGGCGAAAATTATTATTTTTTGGTTTTAGCAATAAAGTTATGCAATGTTTTACTTTTTTCATTTTTAGAAAGATTTTATTTATTTATTTTTAGACAAAGGGAGGGAGAAAGAGAGGGAAACAGCAATGTGTGGTTGCCTCTCATGTGCCCACAGTGGGGTACCTGGCCCATTACCCAGGCATGTGCCCTTGCAGGGACTCGAACTGGTGACCCTTTGGTTTGCAGGTTGGCACTCAATCTACTGAGCCACACCAGCCAGGGAAAAATGTTTTGCTTTTGTAAGTGGCATTAGCTTTCCTTATGTCCACTATTTCAGTGTCAATAGATATATTTATAATTTTATGAACTTTAAAGGTTAATTGAGTTTATTACCATTAGTTCAGCATCAGTGCTATAAGTAATCCTTTATTGATTGTCTTTGGATCTTTAGGAAGGAATGATATATAGGGATAATTAAGCAACTAATTAACTTCTACATGGTCCCTTTTCTGCATGGAGATTAAGCATGTTCTGTCCTTTCATTCTTTTTCACCAAACTAACACCTATGCTAATGCATGTTAAGCTTTTTAACAGCTTTAATATTTGACTTGTAGCTTGTCTGCTCACATAAATGCTTGCTGTGGAGAAAGTATTATTTCCCCACCTCCTGCATGCTTATACACTGTAGGTTATAAATGAAGTGGAGAAAGCACCCAAAGAGCTGAGAAAAGAGCTTATGAAACGCAGGAAAGAGGAGCTTGCACAAAGCCAGCATGCTCAGGTAACAGCAGCAGCTTAATGCTACTAAAAACAGAAAGCAGCATTATTCTCACAGCTCAATAAGTCATGGTTGAAAGGGTAAATTCCTAACTGTACTTATATGATACTGACTTTTCCTCATACAGAGGTTCCCAGGGCATTCTTTATGTAGTAATAAAATGCGCACTAATGGTGACATTTAAGTTGCTAACATGAAGTTAAGTGGAATGTGTAGAAAGTTGATGACAGATGAATAAACAAGTATGTTAATGTATAATCCACTGTATTCTTATTTTAATTATGATGGAGGCTTATATTTTTAAGTAGCAATGCCAATGTTTGATAAAAGTCTTTCAGGACAGAAAAATATGGAGGGTGAGTATGAAAGGAATGCCTGTAAAAGGCCGTCATTTCTGAAAAGTTCAGTTAAAAGAAAAATGGTCAATGGTAAATTAAATGGTAGCAAACATTTATTACTATTAAATTCAACAACATAAGCAACTTAAAACCTGATTTTAAATATTAAGTTTTTTTTATTCAGAATCTAGCAGTTTAAAAAGTAGACTATTTTTACTTGTGTGTGTGTGTGTGTGTGTGTGTGTGTGTGTGTGTGTATAAATAAAAGTTTGATTCTAGATGGTAAGGCTGAGTCAGTTAAGATGGGCAAATTCTTTATAAAATTAGATAAATGAGTATTTTCAACGTATTCTTCTAGAATTACTTCACATGACTCTCCAAGGCTTTTTTATGCTAGGAATCATCTTTTTTAAATTAAATTTGCACTCAGTCTGGAGGCAAAGAAAGGTGAGCTCAATTTGTAGTTACATATGTCATGAAAGGAAGAATAAACATGGATTATATATTAACTGTTTCTTTATATTATCTTTTTAATGTGGTTTTATTTATTTTAAAACGTGGTTCCCAGACTTTTAAGTTTTGAAGACCCATGAAAAGAAACATAAAAATAACAGAAAACATTGGGGACCATGATAAATGGATTGCCATTAAAAACTTTTTTGTTTTTGCTAAGTAAGGATGTTTTAAAAACTGCCATTTACTTGTCACCATCATTTCAAGGGGGAGGCTATTTTAACACCATGGAAAATAAAAATATCTCAGGATTTAAAATTTTAATAAAACTAGCCTGTTTGAGCAAATTTAGTTTCTGCTGTGAGTCAGTGAAAAATTTTGTCTTGGCCGTTGTAGAGATCACTAAATAGCAAACACAGCATTTACTAAGTGTCAAGCACTGTTTAAATGCTTTACATGTATAAACTCATCAAACCTTACAGTGTATGAGGTAGTTACTCGTACCACCTCCATCCTACAGTGAGAGAACTTTAAAGCACAGGACAGTTGAGTGACTTTTCCAGGGTCACACATCTGGTTAATAATAGAACCAGAATTCTTGTCCAGGTGAGTTTGGTTCCACATTTCATACACTGAACCATCATACCATGTTTCCCTCCACATGTAAGCTATCCTTTCTGTGCCAAATCTAAACTCTTACCAGCTTAGCTTTGTGCTTGTCAGCCATGTCTTGTTATAGGTGAAAAGGAAGTCCTTGCTGGTTGTCCATCTCTTTTTAGATAATTTGGATTTCAAACCACCTAATAGTGATGATGGTTTTGCTTTGTAAAAGAATATAGACTTTTTAAATTCCAAAAGGTAATTATATCAGACTGTAGAGTTGAAATTAAGAATTTAGTGTTGATTGAATTAGGTGATCTTACGCTTTAATAAAACTGTTGGTGATTATTCATATAATTTTGGGTGCTAACCTGTATTTTCCAACACAAGCTAAAAGCAATAATTTCTTTTGTAAATTTAATGAAGCATTTAGTAGTCTAACAAATTTGAAAAGAGTTCCTCTTCAGCTACTGCTTTTAGTGGAGGTGATAAAACTTGATAACTTCACAGAATCTGTTTTAAACTTTTATGAGAGTTTATAAATAATAGCCATACAGTCATGGAGCTAGAATGTTTGATCGTCTGGTCCAGTGGTTTCAAACTGTGCTTCCAGGAGCTCTTGAGTTTGGAGGAAGCACCCCGAGAGTCCTTCAGAGTAGGGACTGCGGGGCTCCACGCTCCTGCTCCCACTTCAGCTCCATCAGTGCCTCTTCTTGTCTGTTCCATAATGTTACATACGAGGTCTGTCCAGGAAGCGTCCAGCCCTGTGTTACGAAAAAGGGAGACATTTATTGAAGAAGATACAAGATACAAGGAACATTGTACATAGGACAGTGATGCCTCAGTCTCCTTCAAAATAGGCACCTTGGGACCTCACACAGTTTTCCCAGCAAGTCTTCAGCTGTTCAAAACATTCTGCAAAATCCTTTGTTGGGATTACCATCAGCTACCCCATTGTATTTTCTTGAATCTCATCAACAGTCTGAAATCCCTTCCTTTTCTAAGGTGATTTTAGTTTTGGGAAAAGCCAGAAGTCATAGGGCATCAAATCTGGGCTTTGGGGGGGCTGAGTCAGCTGGGTGATTTGATGTTTCACCAAAAAACTCTGCATGAGACATGATGTATGAGTGGGCGCATTGTTGTGATGAAGCTGCCCATCACCAGTTTCCCATAGCTACGGGCTTCTGAATCGTGTGAATAGTTTCCACAGAGGAATGTTCAGGCTTAATGCAAAATTTAATGGAGATTTGTTGCTCTACTGGCTCAGTCATTCTGAACATGACGGCCACGCAGTACATATGCTCACTCAACAGCATCTACTGCCCCCACTGAGTAGTACGGTGAAGTCGTCCTTGATCACACATGCACATTCCAGTCCACTCTCCTTGGCTGCCATCTATGGTTACATCTATGTCATGCAAACTGTTCTTTTTATATTAACAGTGGCTAGACTTTTTCCAGACAAACCTCGTATTTTTGGTGAGTTTTTTAAAAAGGGTTTGACTGATTTAGAAAACAGTGCCAGCAAACTAGAGTTTGGAAACCATCGATCTAGTTCAAATCTTTCATTTTATAGAGGAGAAGGAGATTCCTCTGTTTCAGGCCTCAAGAAACTCAAGTTTTGTATAATTATTTTTCCATTTACAAAAAGTCATTCAGCTGTGTTCTCACCTGGGAGGTGCGTTGTATTCTGATCCACAGGGCGTTGCTCAGGTCATGATTCAGTCTTTTCAGTTGTCATCTTGTGCGGTCTTCAACGCAGACGTAATGCAGGACGTAAGTCCCGCGTGCCTGTAGGAGGATGCCTTCTCCTGTTTTACTTGCTTTTTCTTTGGCTCACATGTGCCTTTTCATTGTTAGCTTTATTTGTTAAAATCTGAGAAGAGTGGTAGATGATAATATCATTAATGACCATAACAGTAATAACCTGACATGACCGTGATAGTACAGTGTTCTTCAGAGTGTGCACACTTGCTCTCCCCGCCACCACCCTTATGTGGGCCACGGTGGAGTGGACTCATTTCGCAGATGAAGACGTCAAGGCGCAGAAGTCGAAGTGGTCTGCCTAAAGTCACAAACGCATTGACGGTAGAGGTGGAGCTAGAACACTCCTTCCGCAGTGTTCTTTTTCATCTACCCACCACAAATTGTAATTTGAGATGTTCATATTTTTCAAGAAATATCTTCCCAATAGTATTTTATGAGCTTTGCACATGTGAGAAATTGAATGCTGTGATTAGATTTCTATCTTTGTGTGAAGTGACATTTTGATTGCATATGTTTATGTAGATGTTTTAATTATGGATATGGTCAGAAAAGCCATATTAAAAGTGGTGATTTTAGTTTTATTTAAGTCTAGTTTTCACTATTCAAATTGTCTGTGATGAATAGTGACTTTGCTATTCTTGTTGTAGTTTTAAATTGAGTCTGGAGTTCAAGGCTGTATTCTTTCTCACAGTTTCTGTGGGGAAGTGACTAGCTTCTTGAGCAGTGTAACTTTCGTTTGTGATGTTTGACACACACAACTGGAGCAGATAGAATACAGCTTGGCTTCAGCCTCTTCTTTCCCCTCTCCTGAAATTAGACTTATTTTTTAATTATTGGAAGCTGTTGGGCTCTACAGTTTCCTAAAAATGTAAGCAAAACATTATTTTTTTTAATGAGAGGGAGAAATCATGAATTACGATCACTTTTCTGATCATTACCATTTTTAGCTTTTCTTTTGAGTTAAAATGATAAAATTCTGTACAAATAGCCCAATATATCATAACCCTTCCATGTAGTTTTTTTAGAACCCAAAGGTGTATTTTTCATTTTCAGAATTATCTGATTATATGATAAAATTACTTATAAAAATTCAAACTTATGTATTTAAAGGGCACTCATTTTATAATTTATATGTCCATTTTTAAATTATTTGTTACCCCTAGTGATCAGATTAATCTGTTAGTTTTTTTATAGGATGACTGTAACTTGTACAATCTTTTTTGGAATGTAACATCACTTTTTATTTAGATCCTAAGAGTAATTTTTTCTTTCAGTTGAACGACATAATGCATTTAGATGTTATTCTAAGAGTAGTTTTTAATTTAAACTTCCATTGTGAGCATATTGTACTTATCTTTTGAAATTAGGAAATTTAATGAAAGCACAATACCATTAAAATTTCATTTCTCTTGAGGTAATAAAATATATTAGTTAGTATGTAAGGGACCTTTCAAATCCAAGATCTATAAGATAGTTGTGGTGTCTTTGCCAACTCTGATTGTTAGCAAGCACTTGCATATGTTGTCTGCCTTGACTCTTACCTATTGATTCACATTTCACCTCCTGGAGCAGAGCAGTGCTAGTTCTGCCTGCTTCCAGCAACAGTCTCAGCTCTTCTTTCCCCTCGTTTGTTACTAGCCACTTCAGGGCATGCTGCAGCTCTTTCATTCATTGTGGTAACATGGTTTCCAGACCTTTGTTCCCAGGTTTGAATTTTCTGTGTTTTACTTTGGAACTTTTGAAAGTCCAATACAAAGGAAAGGGGCCTACTACTCTTTATGTGAACTGAAAACCAGTTTGGGACCAACAGAGTAGAAGCTCTTTAAAGGCAACACTGTCTTTTATTAGATTTAGTAACCCTGTAACTAGTACAGTGCCCAGCATTGTACTAAGTGCTTAATAAATGTTTTCTTGGAATTGAATTCTTACATTGTTTATTTAGACATGAATATATTATAGTAATGTGACCAAAAATTGCATTGATAAGAAATTACATGCACTTTTTTAGTGGCACTGGCTTAAACCTTTTTGATTTTCACACAAATATTTATTCACCCCATCTTGTACTTTTGCACTTGATTTCTTTGAGCCTAAATGTAATATTTATATTTATGCTAGTTCATTTTGACCCATTGTTTCTGTCCACACAAATATTTTTTAAAAGTTTTTTTATACAAACCAATGGTAAAAATATTGAACAAAAGAAAACCCGTTGATATATCTGGAGATTATAGTAAGTTTATTTAACAAGTTTGCATATAGAAATTTTATAATGAAATTAGAAAAACAATTTTATTATAAGTGATATTTACTTAGGACATAGAAAAACTTGAACAACGTTCTTTGTTGTAATTGCTTAAAAGATAGACATGGAGATTTTCTGTCTCTAAATAAAACAACAAAAAAAAAACTACTCAAAAGGTCTTATTCTGTAGAGTTGAATTTAAATATTCATTTAGTTTTATTTATGTTTTGCTGTGATAAAGTTAGTAGGTGTCTGTAAGTCAAGTTGGCAGCTGTATTTTATAGAGGCAATTCATCAGTCTTTTTGCTACTGCATACTTGTATTTATGCTATAATACAAATTATGATGCAGAAGAGACAGTAGCATTTGTGACTCTGAATTACTTTAAAGGACTTCATGAGTGGTAAGACTTGACCCTCGCCTGCAGGGGCAGTAGTAAGGCAAGCATCCTGAGGAACACTGCACTGAAGGTTGGGCTGGCAGCAGTCTACATCCTGCAGGACTCTGTCCGAGGCCTAAAAAATAGTTCCACTGAGGATATTGGGGTTTTATCTTCTCTAGGGTGCACAAAAAGAGGGATTATAGGTGAAGTGGTGCTTCACTACTAAATTTTTAAATCCACACTCAAATTGATCAGAATATCCCTTGAACTAACCACGAACTGCAGTAACTGCCGAGAGAAAGGTGGCAAGCCACACAGTTCCTGGGAAGCATTTTTTCAGTTTGGATATTGCTTTTATTTTTTCTGTAAATGTGTGCTCTAGCATAAAGATCATAAGTCATTTTAACATTTCCTTTCTTACACTGTAACGAAAGATATTTTTAAAGCAAGGATAAATTTAGCATTTAGGCAAATAGTGTGTGCTTAATAAGTATTTATTGAATTAATGGGCAAATCCCAAACATGTTAGTAGAGTCTTCTGATTACAAGGAATTTTGTTTATAGATTTATAAAATGTAGCTCACTTTCTTACTAGGTCCTCAAACTGTTGTTCTTTTTAGGCACCAGCTGTCAGTACAGAAACAATCTATCTCTGCTGGTATAGGCATGGTATTTCTTCCTCTTTATTTCTTGGGAAAATAGAGAATGTAAAATCCTGATATCAGTTTTATTTATTTGCTCTTTATTGCTTTTCTGAAAGGCATTTCTTGTTTGTTCTTGTTGTATCCACACCATAGGGGAACAGATAGTTTTAGAGAATGTAAATTTATTACTTTCCCAAAGATGACAGTGTAACAGGGGCATTTTAATTATGAGTGAATAATAATCTATTATATATTATTCTTAAAAAGAGTTTAGAATAATATGTATCCTAGAATTTTTTCTGGGCTTGAATTGGGTACCTAATGCATTTTTATATATATGTACACTATATAATTTTGATATTTTTAAATTTCACTAACTTTAGAAATTTGGTTTACAAGTCTTGTGAACCACTAATATATGCAGTCATAAATGGATGTTTTGCTCATTAAATACTGACTGACTGATGGTTAACTATGTCTGATAGGAACAAGAGTTTGTTCAGAAGCAGCAACAAGAATTGGACGGCTCTCTGAAAAAGATCATCCAACAGCAGAAGGCAGAGTTAGCCAACATTGAAAGGGAGTGCCTGAATAACAAGCAGCAGCTCATGAGAGGTATATGAAATTATGCAGAATATGTAAAATGATATCTCAGAAACATTGCTGGGATGTACTTTGAAAACTATGGGGATGCTTTCCTTTGCTAGAGTGTTAGAAGGAAAGATCAAGAAAGTTGAGGTAAATAAGAAGAAAAAATTTATAAAATTAAGAAACACTGTGAGATACAGAATTCCTTTTTGACAGTAGAAGTGAACATAGACACATACTTCTTAAAACATCTTGTCCAGATGATGCTAGAAATATACCTGAATAATTTTGTATACTGATTATTTTTTATAATTGTTGGTATACTTAATGGCTGCATGATAGAATGGGATTTTAAGCACTTATTTGTCCTAAGAAATAGCTCAGATTTTTTTTTAAGTTCCCATGAAGATGATTAAATGGAATTTTGGTATTGGGGGTGGTGCATTCTGTTCTAGAACATTAGAACAGAACTGAAAGTACTAATAGATATATCTTTATATTGGTAATATTTCATTTATAGTTCAGAATGTCAGTGTGTAAAAGTTAGTGTATATAGAATACATTTATGTAAATATTAAAATGAAGACCAAGATGCATTAGTAAGATGATCAAAGTGACATTTTGAAAATTGCTTTCTTCTTCCAGCTCGAGAAGCTGCAATTTGGGAGCTTGAGGAGCGACACTTACAAGAAAAACACCAGCTGCTCAAACAGCAACTTAAAGATCAGTATTTCATGCAAAGACACCAGCTCCTCAAGCGCCATGAGAAGGTTAACGAAAGGGAAAAATTGTTTTGTTCATTTTAAAGTTTACAGAGTGGGAATTTCATTTTTGAAAGTTAAATTTCTTAGAGAATGCATTCAGATTTCTTTATTTGACCCTAAAAAGTCTCTGATAAAGTTGGAGTAATTAATTATATGTTGATCGTGATTACAGACTTCTTTTTCACACATTCCGAGGAAGGTACTAGTCACAGTGCTCAGGGCCTCTGATAAGGTCCATCTCAGTCTCTGAAAGGTAGCTGTTGTGGGTCCATTTATGGTTCAGGTATCAAAATTGTGGACTCCCTGTACTTATTGAGCATTTCAGCACAATACTCATTACTAATAACTTTGTATTTTTCTTATAAATTATTTTTTGCCTAATATTTTGCTGGTTTGTATGCAGTAGGGAAGAGAGTAATTTTGGGAAACAGCAATAATAAAATGGCATGTTTGAACATCTGTGTAGGTACTGAGTGTGATAACTGCCTCACTGGATTCTGTTTCAAACTTTCTTAGGAAACGGAACAAATGCACCGTTACAACCAACGACTTATTGAGGAATTGAAAAACAGACAGACTCAAGAGAGAGCAAGACTGCCTAAGATTCAGCGTGGTGAAGCCAAGACTCGAATGGCCATGTTTAAGAAAAGTTTGAGAATTAACTCAACGGCCACTCCAGATCAGGACCGTGAAAAAATTAAGCAGGTAAATAAGCAAATTATTCTCTTTAAGGTTAAACAGATTTGAATGACCTTTAGGAGTGCCACATAATTGTGATGTAATTATTTAGAACCACCTTGCACCTGGGATGGCCACTTCAGCTCAGTGGTTGGGGCTAGATATACGGCATGTACCAATTAGTCTTCCAAGGGAGGCAGCCACAGGGAGCAGTGCCCTCCCTCCCATCGCCCACCCCAGATCTTGGGCCAGACTGGTCTTAATACCAGCTCAGCGAATGAGGTGACTTGGGCAGCTCTGTGAGTGAAAACACATGGTCTCACTATATTTCCATAATCACAGGTCCCACACACAAATTAATTGAGGTTACTTAGCAGGTAGGAAGGACAGGGTTTTAACCAGAGGTCCTCCCTTCCCTATGATACAAGCTCCGGCTTTGACTCACAGCGTATTATTACTTGCAGCTTTAATTCTCTAAGTTTTGTTAAATTCCTTAATTGTACCATTGGAAGATGCAGAAATTATATTGTTTGTTAACCATATTTACCTTTGTCTTTCCTATTTGTAGTTTGCTGCTCAAGAAGAAAGGAGGCAGAAAAATGAGAGAATGGCTCAGCATCAAAAACACGAAAATCAAATGCGGGATCTGCAGTTGCAGTGTGAAGCCAACGTCCGAGAGCTGCACCAGCTGCAGGTTAGACCCGAAGCGCGGAGACAAAGTGGACAGTAGATGCGCAGCGCGGAGTTGGAGAAGTGTACAGTGAGCCACGCTCTCTAAGGACCAGCGAACTGCCCTTTACTCACGGAAATGCTGGTTTTTGTTTCCCGTATAAACCAAATGAAATATCGCAGGCACTTGTTTGGATTTTATATAACCATGGGTAATATAAGCCAAATTATAACCTAAGAAGTTGAGTCTTTCAAAAGCAGTATTGGCTATTTTTAGTGTATTTCTCAAAGAAGATGAACAGTTCTCAAACTGATGTAGGCAGCCCTGGCCAGTGTAGTTCAGTTGGTTGGAGCATCATCCTGTAACCAGGGGTGTCCAGCCTTTTGCGTCTCTGGGACACACTGGAAGAAGAGGAGTTGTCTTGGGCCATACATTAAATACATTGTGACATGTAATCACAAAAAAATCTCATCATGTTTTAAGTAAATTTACAGTTTTGTGTTGGGCTGCATTCACAGCCATCCTGAGCTGAATGCGGCCTGTGCACTGCAGGTTGGACACCCCTGTGGTATAAACCGAAAGGTGGTGGGTTTGGTTTCTGGTCAGGGCACATACCTATGTTGTGGGTTCCATCCCCAGTCAGGGCGTGTATGAGAGGCAACCAAGTGATGTGTGTCCCATTGATGTTTCTCTCTCCCTGCCCCTCTCCCTTCCTGTCTCTCTCAATCAATTTTAAAAAATTGAACCTATGACCCATTTCATAATACCCGGCCCTTGATTTTTAGAGAATTTGAACCTCAGTAATAGCCTAGTGTTTGATGAGTAATTTATTATTTTGGAAGATAATTAATTATATTTGTGAAAAATTGCTTTGTTGATCTGAAGTTTTTTAACCCAAACTTGATTTTCAGAATGAAAAATGTCACCTATTGGTTGAACATGAGACTCAGAAACTAAAGGAATTAGATGAAGAACACAGCCAGGAATTAAAGGAATGGAGAGAGAAATTGAGACCTAGGAAAAAGGTAATTTTAAAAACTTTAATTCAGATGTTTGTGTCTGCCTGCCCATCCATCCATCCATCCGTCCATCCATCCACCCACCCACCCACCCAGCCTCCCAGCCGTTGGCTCTTTACCTACTATGTGTCAGGTACAGGAAACTCACAGGTGAGGAGACAAAGTCCCTGTGCCCTAAAGGTTCAGAATTTAGCGGTAAGTAATTATAGATCAGTAGGATGATTGCTCTGAAGGAGTTAAGTTCAAGATACTGGGGATAAGGGGGTTCAATGGTAATGGAAAAAAGTAAAGTAAAAATTCTAAAAAGTAAGATGCAGAGGAGCAGAGCACAGTGCTCAAGCAGAGGAGGAGGAGTGTGAAAGTCCTTCTTCTTACTCCATCTCACCTTTTCCCTCTCCAGTTCCCTCCATCGACCAATGTTCTCACATTGCTGTTCTCTTGACATCTAGGCTAGAAACCTGAATTGTTTTCCGTTTCTATGATAACCTACATTCAGTCATAGTATTTCTCTTGTCCATATTGTCATCCTACTACTTGCTTAAAACTGTTCAGTAATGTCCTAATGGGCCTTCTGGTCTTTAGTTCCCTCTCCTTTTTCCCCACTTGCCTGCCACCACCAGATCATTTATCCTCAAGAACATCTCTGGTTTGGTCATAGTGGTACATGGGGCAGGGGGATCCCTCAGAAAAACACCGGAATTGTCTTCTGGGGGATGGGCCCCTTGTAGTACAGGCTTCCCTCACTAAGTGAGCGTTCTAGGAACCCATCTGTATCAGTGTACCCGCTGGCATTGTTGTGAGAGGCTGCATTTGGCTTCAGTGAAATTTTTTGTAAAAAAAAATTTTATTGTTTATGATAATACACTTGTCCCACTTTCTCCCCTTGTGCCCCCCTCCACCCAGCCTGCCCCCCACTTCCACAGTCAGTCCCCACACCGTTGTCCATGCTCATGGCTCCTTCATCCATGTTCTTCAGTCCCTTCAGCTTCCTTCAGTCAGTCCCCACCTCCCTCCTCCCCTGTTACAGCTGTCAGTCTGTTCCATGATTCTAGGCCTCTAGGTCTCTTTTAATCACTAGTTTATTTCATTCATGAGAGTCCTCCTATAAGTGAGATCATAGGGAAGTTGTCTTTCACTGGCTTATTTCACTTAGCATTATAGTCTCCAGTTCCATCTGTGCTGTCACAAAAGGTAGGATTGTTTTGGACAACTCTCAGCGCGTTTGCCCGTTTCCTGACGGGTGATTTATGAGCGCATCTGCCCACGCAGTGCTGGGTGTTCGCCAGTTTTTGATCCAAAATGGCATGACCCCTGGGCCCCATCCTCCCTATTCACCTGATCTCACTCCGAGTAACTTTTTTTTGTTTCCTTGGATGAGAAAAGTCCTAAGAGGAAAGCGTTTTGCTGATGTGGGAGAGGTGAAGCAAAAAATGGCAGAAGCACTAAAAGGCATCAAAATTGATGACTTAAAAAACTTTTGAGCAGTGGAAAAAAATATCTCAACAGGTGTATTGCATCAGATGGAGAGTAAAGGTGACTGATGTTTAAATATGTAAGAGTACAGTTTTTCATAAAAGTTTTCTATTTTGGGGGGAATCCCCTCATAAATAAATCGTTAGTTTTATCAGAAAAAAGTCTGAGTGCCTCTGTCTGACTTTTACACCTTCACGGTGCCACACATCGGCCACAGCCCACCTCTCCAGTTCAGCCCCCACTGACCGCCGTACCCCAGGGCGTGTTCCGGTGTCGGGTCTGATCGCCGTCCCTCGCGCCGGCTTTGCTGCAGGTTCCGCCTCCGCGCTCTCTGCTCCCTTCGTGCGCGTGCCTCCCTGTCCTGTCTCATCTTTTTAGCTTTCCTTCAAGACTGAGCCAGGCTTCATTTCTTCTGAGAAACCTTCTTGTATCCTTCCGCCTTCTTCTAGACTTTGCTTGCACTTCTCCAGCCACACTCATCCCTGAACCACTCGTCCCCAGAGCCATTGGTACTTCACCTGTTTATCCAGCACTTACATTTGCTCCGTGTTGTGGGGATGTAAAGGTGAATCTGGTTTAGGGTTTACCTTCAAACGTCATATAGTCCAGTGCAGGAGAAAAGACAGGCACATCAATAGTCAAAATAAAATATAGAAAATGGTAAGTTCCAGTGGGAGTGACAGATAATAGTTAATAGTAGGTGCAGTCTGTTGAGTACTTAGTATGTGTTAAGTACGTCCTTGTCACATTTAACCCTCACATGGAAGCCAGTGCGGTAGGTGGCGTCACCCCTATTTATAGCAGCAGAGTGAAATGACTTCTGTAATACAGGACAAGTAAGTGGTTGACCCAAGTTAGACATTATTGTGGCTGAACCAGGACTTGATCCCAGGGCTGTGCGCAGCCTTTGACCCTAGCTATTGAGCAGTCTGGCCTCCCGCAGGATAATACACAGGGAAAGTGTTGGGGGAAAGGAGCTTTATCTTGCTGTCAGAATAAATTCTGTTTGTAACACCAGTACGTGATTTTCTTTTTTCTTCTTTTATTTTAAGACACTGGAGGAAGAATTTGCCAGGAAGCTGCAGGAGCAGGAAGTGTTCTTTAAAATGACTGGGGAGTCTGAATGCCTTAACCCATCAACACAGAGTCGGATTTCCAAATTCTATCCTATTCCTAGCCTGCATTCCACTGGATCGTAACAGTGGGAAGCATCCTGTGGTCTGGTTTGGCTTTTAGAATATGTCATTTTGTTCTCTTCATCTTCTGCCACAGTCCGCATTAGAGGGTGCACGAAGACAATCATCTGCCTCACCTTCTGGGTGGTTTTTGTGTGTTTGTCGTGTTTGTTTAGCAAAGATGGAGGGCAAGGAGCTAAGACAGATGCCAGGCCGCGTTGGCGTATAGCATCTTGCAGTAATTCCCTAAGGTGATTTTGTATATTAATCTTAAAAATTGTGTTCTTTAGACACTGTTACCTAAAAAAATCTTAAGAGATATAATGATTAAAGTTATTTTTTAAAAAACCTGTTATGTCACTGAATATTAGTAAATATTGGTTTTTCTCAATGATGCCTGAATTCTGTAGTTGAAACTCTGCTGTGGAGAGTTGGAGTAACTTTCTTTTGGTAAATCAGCTCTCATGAAAATGCTAGGAGTTGCTCAAAATATGATACTGATTTATTAAATACATCTATTTTATCTTTAAATAGCAACAAAGTCTTTTAAAAGAGAAAAATTATTTCAGTAATCTGTCTAAATAATTACCTGTTTAGGCGTGGCTAATATTCAGGGGTGCTAGTTTTATTAAGACAGTGCCTAAAACACTAAACTTTAATTGAGTCTAAAAAAGGGTTTCCTTGTTTGACTCAGCAAAACATCCTTAGCATTAAGTATTATTGTTTTTTAAATCTTGCTTCTGTTACCATTTGATAGAAATTTTCATTCTAAAACATGTGTTGTACAAAATTGGGAACAATGGGAAAAAAGTAGCTTTTAGATGTTCTAATTGGAAATGTAAAACCTAACAAATTAAAAGAAATAGAGAGTTAGCTATCCCACCTAAAATAATACATGAGCTGGTTAGATGACTTCTCCCATCTTAGCAAATTCTGTTCATCGAAAACTCTGTCAGAGGCCTGCTGGCTCTGAGTTATATTTATAAATGTATTTTCTGAAATAGATCTTAAAAGAGGCTTTTGTTCAGAATACTTTTTTTTTTTTAAATTAAAATAGGCAAATGTTGGAAATGACTTAGTTGTTTTGAAATAAAGTCATTTATATTTTGGTTTTATTTTGTTCTATGTTTAAATTATTTACTTTGATTTGAGTGGGAAAAGCCAGAATCCTTTATCATGTGGTTGCTGATATGTGTAATTATTAATGAAATGCTCACTCTTAGTCCCTCTTGAGGCTTCGAGTTTCAAGCACGTGTCGGGTCGGACAGTGTCACACACGAACTGCACTGTGACACGTGAGACGGCACGTCTGTCAGTGACGCTTGCTGCCTGCCATCAGCCTATTCTCTCTCAAGAGTACTAGGTACCAACTCGTACAAGCTTCAGTTTTTGTTATATTACATTTGATGCTGGTGAAAATTTTAAATGTAACTGTGGGAACACTTGTCATATTGAGAAAATGTAAATATCTGTAGCACTTTCTTGCAGTTAATTTGAAAACTTTGAATACTGAACCTTATTTCGTCAATGGTTTAGATGATTTAAATGCATGTGTGATTTTCATTTTGTAATTGTTTTGACAAGCATAATTTACTTGGACAACTTTGTAGGTAGCCTTAACTTCTGGCCAAGTTTGTTTTTTATATAAATAGATATATACATATATTATGTATGGTTGTAAATTCATACACTTACCACATGAATGTGTTACTGTATACAAAACTCCTTTAATGCTTTATTCTCAAATGCTGGGTTGAAAAATGTTTTGAAAGCCTTTTAAAAAATATATCTTTATAAAGTAATATTCAGGATGATGATGGACATTGTTTATATTATGATAAAAATGGCAGTATAAAGTTACTTAGTGTATTTAATGATTTATTTTAAGAGGGAGAGGAGAAGAAGGTTCTCAAACCACTTTCTTTGAAATTTTCAGGTTATTGGCTTTTAAAAACTTAACACTTTAGGCAGTGACTTTTTTCAGAACCATTTTAATGATATTTTGAGTGCTAGTTTGTGGCACATAATCTTATTTGATCTGAATATTCAAGTCTTTTTATTTCAACTTGACATTCGGAGTGTTGAGTGGAGGAAAGAGGCTCGGAGTAGTCCCTCGCCCACTGCCGCATCTCCCTCAACACCGCCCTTGGATCCAGTGTTTCTGCTCGAGTCCTCTTTCAAACGTGACCGTGTTCTTGCGGCCACAGGACTACAAAATGAGAATATGCAGAGGCGAAACATTCATTTTAATACTTAAAGTTACATAAATACTTTGAAAAAGTGTTTTGTTACAGACCGTCCCTGCAGACTTCTTAGGCCCTCTGTTCCAGTAGATGATAGTGGTCTTGCTTGCATGAAGTATAGGTGGGGAGTGGGGGAGGGGCGCAGCCTTCTTTGAAATCCAAGAGTACAGTCAGATCTATTCCTGATTTGGACCTTGTTGCTGTGGCAGAATGTGCTATGAAATGCGTAAAAGAAACCCTTCACGTGTGTACCCTGGTGACTCACCCCCTTCTCCCTGCGTGCTGTGAATACACCAGACCGCCACGCTTCCGCAGGTCCAGCTCTCAGAGCTCGTCGCACCAGGTTGCCTTTCCTCGTCCTGTCAATCCGTAGTTGGGAGCGAATTGCTGAATTAGCTGCTATTCTGTATAGAGTCACAATTAAGCTTTTTCTTACCCTTTTCTGTGGGGAAGCTATAGGGTGGGTAAGGAAGAAATTGAGTGCTTATACTTGGCTGAAAATATTAGAACTTTCCTCTGACAGGTTACAGCAAATTGTAATTAAATATAAACCAGAACCAGAGCTACCTCTAAGTAGTGTTTCCTCAAGCACAAAGCTCTCAGGCATACGAGATCCACTCTAATGGAGGGTCTCTGATTTCTTGAGCATCAGCGAGTTTCAGAAGTGACTGTCTTTTGTACTCTTTTCAGTTCCTTTGTAACTACACACTCTTTCCCATTCCACACTGTGCTTAAATGACAAAGTCTCTTCTGAGAAGCCAAATTCTGTCAAATGATTAGCTAGAGATAGTGTTGATTAAAGGAAAACCTAGAACTGAGATGAAAGAGGAGAGTTAGTTCTAGTTCTAATAGTCTTCTGATTAAATAAATCAATTCTTTTCTGGGAAATGATCTTTTATAGGAAACGGGATATTTTAAATGCTTTTCTTAAGTTGAGGGCACAACAGTTAATGCCTCTATTGTCGCTTTTCTGTGGCTGACATGGTTTTGATACAGCTTTAAAATTTCTGCTTCTAGGCTTTGGGTAGAATGTTACACCAGTTTTAAATGTTGGCTGCAGCTTTCTGTGATCCTCTGATTTGCAGTGTAATAACTTCACAAGCCGAATTTTCAGAAAGAACTTTGTTTCAGATCATGCCTCTTGTCTATTTGGGAGCAATGTGTCTTTTCAATCATGGGATTGACAAATGAACAATAAAGTTATTTCTTAATCTGTGTTGAGAAGCAGTCTTTCATTGAGAACCATTGGAACTGAATTGTCATGCATGAGAATATCTTGCAGCTTTTTGGGTCCTGGTTCTATTTTGACAATTGCAGTCTTCCAGGCCTGCTGACCCTTTCAGACTTAAGTAGCGGGGCTTTACATATTTCCACCAACATATGTATGTATATATTTTTTTATTTCTTTTTTTCCCTTGTTATATATTCTTCTCACCAAACATTTCACAAGCCATGTGACCTCACTTTTGCTAAAAGTAGCCTGATTCATAATGTCCATACATGTTTTAGTAGACACTAGGCAGATCGTTTGCAAGTGTTCTTGGCTGGAGAGAGGCAAAGCATGTCACTTCTAATCCAGGACCATTGTACATTGTCGAGCTCATTCTTAACCCCAATCCTCTTTTTTTTTTTTTTAAATAGAAATATAAGAGGCTCTGAGTCATTGCCATCCAGTTGAGGACATATCTGCCCACTTTTTTCCTGGGTTCTGTCCTTTCACCCATTTCACGTGGCCTTAGAACTCTGGAGACTTTCGGATAGCTTAGAAAGGTAAGTGGGGGAAAACTCACGTCTGATTAATCAAATGAGTATCATCAAAGGGGATAGAATACTTGAGCCCTAGAAACTATTACCACACTAAAGAGACTCAGACTTTAGGTAAAACTGAAACATTAAAAAGGCACAGTGTAGTCATTTATTATATGCAGTGAGTTTTCATTAGGAAGTAAGTTATTTGAAATTCTGGAAGCCTTTTGGACTCATTTTTCAGAACTCCTACATTGATTCAGAGCAGGTACTGATGGGATACGACAGAAGAGGCAAACAGACCGTGGGGAGTGCGTGGTGCATGGCTGGTGGTTGTGGCCAGCTGTTTGGTGGTGCGGAGTTAGGCGTTGTGTTTTTCCCAGGGTAGTTTGTGAGATGGCTGGGAGAGGCCACCTGAGAAATAAGCAATCCAGTCTTTTAGAAGAACAGAGGTACAGAAGATTTCATTTAACTCCACTTCAAATTGTCCAGCAATTGAGCGTCACAGTTTGTAACAAATTCAAAAGTTAGCCTCTTTTGAATTTGCACGTCTGATTTTACTCTGCATTTCTGTGGGGCATTTGATGTTTGTGCGTTTTTCTTCATAGGCACTTTGGTATTCCATATTACTTGCTCTGTAATTATAATTACTTTGCCCCAGGGTAAATCACTACATGAATTGAGGACAATTCTGTTGCTCATCTGTTGTGTATATGCTTATTTCAAGCGACTTATGTGTATGGATTGTGATTGCCTATATTGAATTATTAGTTACAGATAAAGGTCTGCCTTTAACAATCTCAGTGATTTAACAAAATGCCGGAAACTGTGTCCCAGGATATTGTGTTTGTAGTAGTGTCAGAGTCAAACCTAAAGTATTTTCTTTCTTTTTTCTTAACTTTGGTCAGATGAATCAGATTACACATGATATTAAAAAAGGGGAAAAATCCTTTAATTGGAAATTTTACATTTGAAATGACTTTATCAAATAGACCACATTAATGTTTTTAGACATTGAAAAGTGCTTTAAAAACTGCGCCCAGTACCCAGTGCCGTTCCCTAAGTGCAGAACAGAGGTGACGTCTTTCCCAGCAGCAGGATTGCTATTTCCCTCTCCTGCTCTCCCTTGCCCCTTGCCCTCCTTTTTCTGTTTGCTGCAGTCCCGTGGATACAGGTCATAGCCACAGTCCAACAGACTTTCTAAGCAAGTGGGAACATGATATGTAGAGAGAAAAAAACTATTAGAAAGAAACCCTGTCGCCACCTTCAGAGGAAGTGAATTTCCTAACTTTTCAGTTGCAAGAGTTGCTTGTTAGCCAACTCTTCTGTGACTAGAGAATGCGGAGTGATCAGGGGAGGAAGGAGCTGATAGCACAGCTTTAAAGCATTAGCTGGAACATACCCCCACCAAGTGTTACCCCAGGAAGGTGCCCCCCTCCCATCCCCCACCCCATCTGCCATTTTTCTGAGCTCATTTTTAGGCAAAGCTCAAGGACTCCCGAGCCAACTTCTATGTACCTGGCTTCGCTAGGTTAGAGTCTGAACTAAGTGGTGAAGCAGCCCAGGGCTCTGGGCTAGAAAGCCAAGGAGTCAGTCTCCCACCACAGCACTGCAACTACTCAGGTCTGCCCAACGATGCTGTTCGATCGTGTGTCTTTGAATTATTTATGTGTGTATATATTGTTTCAGACTACAGTAAGTGTTCTAGCTGACTATTTGGCTCTGCTGTTGTCAGTAGGATATTGGGACTCCAGCTTTCACCCCTCAGAGAGATTGTGACTGAAGAGCACCAGGAGCCGTTGGGAGAACTGGTCTGTGGGCTGGTCTGCCAAGGGCGGCTCATGGTTTGGTGGCGATACTTCTCTTTCTCCGCCCGACGTAGACTTGGTCCCCTGAAAGTTAGAGAATGAAAGTTAGGAAGTCAAGATAAACTCTTGTAAGACTGTCAGTTTATTTAAATGGTTTACCCCATTTGATTACCAGACGGGTCCTCCTGTTCCTCCCTGCACTGGCACCCTCCTTCTCTCTCCCCAGCTGTCTGATTGTTATGCGAATTGCACTGTTGGCAGGCTCTGCCTTTAGTAATGGGCATTTGCCTTGATTTTTCAGGCTTGCTATGGAACGAATCCCCTGCCTCCCAGTACTCCAGAAGCTGTGGCAGCGGAGGCTTACCTTTGTCTCCTTTTTCTCCCTTGTGCCCTCGAGGGCCTGGTGGCCCAGGCTGGCCAGGTGGCCCAGCGGGGCCCCTCTGACCTAGGAGGAGAGAGAGATGCAGCATATGCCAGGAGCGTGGGGCCTGGAGGAGTGGCACAGAGCCCACCACAGCACCGGCATGGGGCTGCTTTTCCACACGAACTTGTTATGCAGGATCCTGGTGGCTGTTGCCTGCCACCACTTACCTTTGAGTCCCGGGAAGCCCATGTCTCCCTTCTGCCCGGGGGGTCCTGGAATGGCTCCATAAGCTGCAAGGGGAAAAACTGTCCTTAGACTAGCAGTGCTTCTGAAGCTGGGAGATACAGGATAGTTCAAAGTAACACAGGTAGGTAGTGGTAGAGTTTGGGCTTGGAAGAGGAAAACGAAGTTCAGAATCTGTCAGATTGTAAGCATCTCGAGTGTTAACAATGAGGTTTTCTGGGAGACAGGTCTCTGTGGGGCAGGCTCCGAGGGAGACTGTGTGGCCAGTTCCGTGTGGGAAAGCGATCTGGGGAGGCCCTTACTTCGGAAGAAGTCCACGAGGTCCTCGGTCACGTTGCTGTAGGCAGAGAAGACCTTGCTGATGCCGGGCGGCCCCTGGGGCCCAGGCTGGCCCGGTGGGCCCTGGACGGTGTAGGCCATGCCCTGCAGCAGGCCCTGACCTGTGAAACACAGAAGTGGGGGCACACTCTTCACCGTGGGGAGCCAGGTCCCAGTGCACGGAGACTAGGTCGGGTGACAGGGAAGCCCTGCAGCGTCCTTGTCATGCCTTGGGGAGGGGCGCCAGTCTCGGGCGCAGCAGGCTTTCATCAGGGGCGCTTGCTTGCCTGCATAGTCACGCTGACAAGCTGCAGGGAGGGAGGGTTTCTTACCCAGCACCTCCCCTCAGCCCCAGCAGAAACTGTCACAAAGACTTCTGAGACCCACACCAGTTAGTGCAAAGTGCAGAGACCCCAGCATTCTCTGTCCCCTGCAGCAGAGGGTCCAGCCCAGACTGGGGGCCCTTGAACCAAGCAGGGAGGAAATTAGGTTGGGGCCTCCTGTCTTCAGTCCCTGGTCCTGATTGCAGTGCTGCGGGGCTCACAGCCTGGGCACCCCGAAAATGGGAGTGGGGGTTTCCTGGGCCCAGATGTGGAGATGCTCACATGCTTCCACTCCCCCCACAGCACTGGGCCCACGTCTCCCGACTCACGCTGCAAGCTCTCCGACACCCGGACAGCCAGCTCGTTGTAATCCAGACCTCCAGCAAGGCCATTCCCGAACAGTCTGCCGTCACCGCCATACATGCCACCTCCTGCTGTCCCGTAGCCTTGGCCCAGGCCGAGGTCTGAGCCAAAGCCTCCCCCTTCACCCAGGGAGCCTCCGCTGGACCCTCCTAAGCCCATGGAAGAGCTGTAGGACGTGTCCCGGCTGACCGACGAGCTCTGCGAGGAGCTGCTGCTCCGGCTGTAGGAGCCATCCATGGACCCCAGGCGGCTGTCTCCGGGAGGTCCCTGGGGCCCAGGAGGGCCTGGGGGACCCATGATGAAGCCGCGCACATCAGGACCTGTGGAGGGGAAGCTGCGTGAGTGGGAGCTCAGGTCTGGGTGGAGAGGAAGCAGTGGGAGTTAAGGGGTCTCTCTCAGGGTCAACACTCCTAAGCCGGATGTGTAAGGAACTTCAAGGCACTTGCCCATCAGCAGGATTGTACTGGCCGGGAAGACCCTGGGCTTTCCCGGGCTGGTGGCTCTCACATGCTGGTCTCCCAGGGTCCTTTGCCTTCTGCTCCCCTCCCAGAGAGAAGCAAGGCGGGTGAAAAGGGCCTCTGAGCAGCAGCCATGTCAGGGGCACCTACTTGTCAGGTAGCTAATCAGTTCACTTCGGAAGCTGTCGGTGTTTTCAGCTGCGTGGGTTGCCAGTGCTCCTGAGACACCCGGAGGCCCTCGAGGGCCTGGGGGACCCGGAGGGCCTGGGGGGCCTGGGATGGAGGACAAGCCAGCAGCTGAGCGGGAGGCAAGAGAGAGAAAGATCAGAGATCGCCCCGCTGAGAACACTGAGTTTCCCACCCAGGGCCCTGTGTGGTCCCTTCTTGCAGAGGCGGGGGCGAGGAGGGAGCAGCTGACACCCAGAGCACCGCCAGGGAATGGTGGCCCTCCCACTCCCGACTCAGAGCCATGTTCAACCCAGATCATGTCCCTCCCCCTCAGCCCTCTGCCTCTGAGAGTGGGAACCCCGCCTTGGCTCCCGATCACACTGGTACCACCACGCTCACTGGCTCGTGAGTTCTCTGAGGGCTGCCCCTG